CAACCATCTTCTGGCCACCTCAGCTGGCGTTCTCACAACCACAGCCTGGCTTTGGTCATCACTGACAGCTCAGCTCTAGAGAGCCCTCGCTCACACATCTCCCTATTTATAGTGTCTTGGTCTTCCCTCTGGATGGCTTAAGTACCCTGGCTACAGCTGTGAAAATTGGTAAAAGGAAATCTCATTTAAAATAGCTCGAGGCGGCCAGCAGGGGGAGCTCTAACGTCCTACCACTGGTTGTCAATTGCAGACCCAACAGGAACGCTTACCTTGCCTGTAGCTACTATTTCAATTTGGAGGAGGTAGGAAGGGTTCGGTCCTCCCCTCTCCAACAGCCCAGCCAATGAGAGACTGTCAGAACTCAGCCAGTGAAAATCCGCTGCACTTTGAACTCCCAGTTTACACCAGTGAATATTTTGTTTAAAACACACCCCCCCCCAATCTCTCCCACTCCTCTGTGAAAGACGGGTCCTGTCTTTTGCTTTGTGGGTTTGCCTATGATTTTGCCATGGCTTGCTTGATCTGAGTTGCCATTCTCTTTTTCTGAATAAACCCATTTTTGATAGTAAAATAACCGACAGTTTTATTTTTAAGGTTAACACAGCTATTCTTTGCTTTTCTGGGTTCCCCCCCCCTCCCCGCCCCGGACAGCTAGTCCAGCTTCTCCCTGCATCAGCCTCTCCTGACTTCAGTTCCTTCTTTCCCCAGCTTAGTTCCGATGACAAGGCATATTGGCCACGTTTAAAGAACCCCGGAGGCTCCCCCTCGTCTCCCTCTGCTCCGTGGAGCTGGCTTCCACCGCACTAACACCTGGCCTTATTCAGGACTGCATCCCGCAGCAGTCCTGGAAAACCTTGCAGCAGGAGACCCTACTGGGCCAGGAGAAGGGAAGGGGAATGGGGCATTTTGAAAGGAGGTGTGGGGAATGGGGCATTTTGAAAGGAGGTGAGGGAGTGCTCATTGGAAGGGTTGAGAGTTCTCTGGGAGAGGAACAAGGGTGTGGGCTCCCAGGGCTGCACACCGGAGATGCCTGACAGATACTTAAGAGAATGGGAAGCACCTTTGGGGGACTTGGGCAGCGTGGAGGGGCCAGGTGAGGATGTGGGACCAATTCTGTGGTTGTGGCTTTCCTCTGTTAACACTCGGCTGCAGAGATGAGTGGTGAATTTATCCAGTCAGGCGGTTCCAACAGAAAACAGCGGGGATGTTGGGGGTGTTGGTGGAAGTGCTGGAACAGAACCTACAGACATTACCAGATTACCTGGCTTAAAAACCTGTTTACTTATTGTTTACAAAACATAAGTTTCCTGAGGGCAGGGCCTTGTTCTCCAAGTAATCCTATATGTTGTGGTCACCTTCTTGAGTAAGGGAGTCAGACAACTGAGAATGAAGAACCTCAGGGTTCTCGCAGAAGGACAGAAGGCTGAGGGGGAGACGGTGTGGTTGAAGGAGGGATCTGAATGCAGTTTCGGAGACGGGCCACTGCAGGAGATGACTTGCTCGGGGTATGGCATACTGAGGGCGAGTGCAGGTAGGTGACCAATCCATCTCGGTTTGCCCAGACTTTCTTGACTCTACCACTAAAAGCCCTGTGTCCTGGAGAATCTTCAACTGTGGGTAAATTGGCCACCTGGTCACCAAGTGGAGAGCAAGACTATCTCTGAGAAGCCGATTAGTGGTGGGTGGTCTATGGAAGCCTCAGGATAGATCACTCTTGTGGGCTTATGTCATTTTTTGCCACATTCTATGTGGGACTCCTTGGGCATGCTTTCTAGGCAGCAAAAGGAAGCTTTTTCATAGCCCTGAACTCTAGGAATAATAAGCATGCTAAAAATGGCAAATATTTCTAAGAGTGGCAACACCAAAGTGTGACGACATCAGCATTTTCAAGTCTGCAAATTAAGTGCATTGTACTCAGAGCCTTAAAAATCACATCAACCAAGCTCCCCTGCTAATTCTTTCCTTTCTATTGGAAATTTAACTGCTGATTTATTATAATAGCCTCTATTTTCTTAGAAATCTAGTAACGTCAATTTGCAATATTACATAAAAGGACTATATATAAATATCATAATTTATTTAATTGAGCACGAGAATCATGTCAAGGATGAAACAGTCTTTGGTTAAATAGACCTGTCTAGTGTTGAAAATAGATTTCACACTCCACATGCATCACGTAGCACAAACCACAGCTTCGTTATAATTCTAATTTCATCATAACTGACTTGCTGTTATAGCAATCAACTATGCATCAATAAATATGCATCAATATTTCAGCGAAGTTTTATTTTCAGAACAGGATTGATGGTCAAATTGTTGTAAATGGAATACAGACTTTCTGGAAAAATTGTAGAAATATATTTCAACCAAAAAATAACTCTTTTATAATGAGTCAATATACACAAGGTATACTGGAGCAAGTAACATCAGAATCATACCCTCTGTGTCAGCATCATGGATTTGTACAACCACTGTAAATAAAAGCATGGGGGTCGGGATAATGCTATTCACAGAAACAAGAGAAGAATACTTTCCCAGAATATTCAAGAATATTTCAGGAAGATTAGTGGAAATATAGTTCTTTGTTGTAAGTATCAGTGGAGAATCAGTACGTGGAGACTTGGATTCCTATATGCATCTATAGTCTACTCATGCTTATGTCAGAAACATAAACATATACACCTATAGCTTACTTACGACATGCTTATGTCAGAAACTTGAAGATATCGTCCCCTTGTAAGTGTCCCCTGTAAAACCAATACGGAGATTTGTTGAATTCTTATTAATTTGTATTCAATGTTAAGTTGAATACATTTAGAAAACTTAAAACTTCTATCACTTTCACAAATGCATAGATTAATGGTTGACGAAGGTAAATAATGTTGTCTGTTCTGTTGGATTTTGGCACATAGCTCAGTTCTTCATTTCGTTAGGGACTAACAAGAAATAGCATAAATGCCTTATTAAGTAAGCTAAGCCATGGATTTTATTTGTATCAAACTTTTTACTCTGAGATAATTGCAGAAATTATAGATTCACATGCAGTTGTAAGAAATAATACGAAGAGAACCTGTCTGCATTTTACCAGTTTCCCCCAAAGGTAGTATCGTGCGAAACTATACTCTATCGCAGCCAGGATTTTCACACTGATATGTTCAAGATATAGAACGTTTCCATCCCAAGGGTCCCTTGTGTTACCCACCTCTCTCCTTCTCCACCCTCCTCCTTAGCAACCTCTAATCTGTTCTTTATTTCTAGAATGTCACATTTCAAAATGTTGCATACGTGGAATTCTACAGTACGTAACCCTGTGGGATTGACTTTCACTCAGCCTAATTCTCTGGAGATTCATCCAAGTTGTTGCTTGTATGAGAAATTATTTTTATTGCTGAGTAGTATTCCATGGCATGGATGTATCATATGTTTCACCAGCCACCCATTAAAGGACATCTGGTTGTTTACAGTTTCTGAATCTTATGAATAAAGCTGCTATGAATATTCACGTACAAGTTTTTGTGTGAACATACGTTTTCATCTCTCTGGGATAAATGCCCAACCATGCAATTGCTGAGCGGTATGGCAGCTGCATGTTTCATTTTATAAGACACTGCCAAGTGGTTTTGCAGAGTGGCTGTTTCATTTTCATTCCCCCCAGCTATATATGACTGATCCAGTTTCTTTGTGTCCTTGCTACTATTTGGTGTTGTTATATTTTTTACCAGTTTTGATGGGTGCCTAGTGGTATCTCATTGTGGTTTTAATTTGCAGTTCCCTAATGATTGGTGATATTGCGTATCTTTTCATGGGCTTATTTGCCATTTGTACATCCTCTTCAGTGAAAAGTCTGTATATGTTCTCCGTTTTTTAATTGGATTAAAAAAAAAAACTGCTGAGTTTTGTGAGTTCTCCATATATTCTAGGTACTAGCCCTTTATTGGATACAGGCTTGCAAATATTTTCTCTCAGTCTGTTTGCAGCCTGTCTTTTCATTCCCTTAACATGAAAACTTTTTCAGAGCAAAAGTTTAAAAGTTTGATGAAATCTAATTTATCAAACTTTCCTTTATGGATTATGGTTTTTGGTGCCAAAATACTCTTTGCTTAACCCTGGGTCCGTACGTTTTCTATTTTTTTAAAAAAAATTTATAGTTTTACATTTTATGTTTAGAATTATGATCCACTTTGAGTTCATTTTTATACAACGTGTGATATGTAGGTTGAGGTTTTTTGCCTGTGGATATCCCATTGCTCTAACACATTTATTGAAAAGACTATTCTTCCTCCGTTGAAGAGGGAGTATACCCAACTGAGTATATATGTGTGGGTCTATTTCTCGATTTTCTATCCTGTTCTATTGATGTATGTGTCTGTGGATCCATCAATAAATACCATACTATCTTGATTATTATAGCTACATAATAAGTTTTTATATTGAATAGAGTGATCTCTCCTACTTGTTTTTCTTTTACAAGATTGTTTTAGTTATTCCAAGGCCTCTGTCTTGGAACTCTTAGAATAAACTTGAATATGTCTACAAACTTTGCTGACATTTTGATAGAAATTGGATTAAATCTATAGATAAATATGGGGAGAACTGACATCCTTGCTATTTTGTGTCTCCCAATCCATGAATATGGTATATCTCTTCATTTATTTAGGTCTTTGATTTCTTTCATTAGCATCTTGTAATTTTCAGCATTTAGATCTTATACATGTTTTGATAAATTTATACCTAAATATTTATTCTCTTCAGAGCTACTGTAAATGGTATTGTGCTTTTAATTTTGGTTTCCACTTTGTTCATCTTTAATATTAGAAATATGATTATATTTTGCGTGCTAATCTTATATCCTGAAATCTTGCTGCACCCGCTAGTTTTAGGAGTTTTCTTTTCTTTCTTTTTAAATAGATTCTTCGGAATTTTCTATGTAGATAGTCATGTCATCTGTAAACAGAGATACTTTTATTTCTTTCTTTCCCATCATATGCGTTTACTTTACTTTTCTTTCATTAATGCCATGTGTAGAAATTGTGGTACAGCCTTTAACATTTTAATCAATGTAAATTTCCAGAGATTTGCTAAAACACGTTGGCCTGAATGGGGCCCATCATTCTCAAACAGGTGCATTTTTAACCCTCTTCTTATCATCCAGCCTGTCTAGACTTCATATCCTATCATTTGGATAAGTAACTGATAACATCCATCGGTGGTTATAAATGGCACCCACACTGCAAAATCCCTTGAAGCAACAGAGAGGCCTTCAATGAGCTAAGTGGAAACTGCTTGTAAAAGCAAACCTGGCATAGGAACATTATTCGTAAGACAGAACCAGGAGGTAGTGATGCTCAAAGAATTAAGGTATGAGGTTGACTTATGGAATATGTGGTTCATCCTTTCATTTTTCCCCTCTTACCTCTAAATTGGTGATAGCGATAATTTTAAACTCAGAAGTATGAAATGCTATCAAAATTACCTTATTCTTATATATTAGAAATTGCTATTGTTAGGAACTCTTCTGAGAGTTGACTTTTGACAAATAAAGAATTCTGTGCATCTTACTATGCATTTAGTAAAAGTCACTTAAAAATATTTTGACATCTCAAACTCTATTCATGTCTTAATTTCTTAAACAAAAATATGACCATTAATAACATTTTCACTTATTTTAAAAATGTATATTTCCTATATATAGTGTTGCATTTTAGGTTATACAATGTACCTCACCCATCAGAGAGAGTTTATAGCCTATAATGGCTATAAAAGACAGAAAACAGGGTATTGCTTGATCCTTCACAGACTTCAATAAAAGAGGTCTCGGATAGATACACATAGATCCTTAGAGGCCTTAGATGTGTACTCAGGGACATCAGTGTAGTTTCTTGAAAAACCAGGAGCTCCTACGTATAATTTGTAGAAAATTTTAAATCTGTGGTAACAACAAAATTTCAGAGATGAATTTTTGTTTTGGTAGTTGACAGAGGCAAATCATCACAGGCAGGCCAGTCATCACTGGTTATGCTGATCCAATGACCACCTGTGCATTTCAGTCACTCTCTTGTTGCTTTCTCAAGACTGACTTAGAATTACCACCACCACTCCATCCATTGTGTGCAGTGAGTTCTGGAGTCAGGTCATGGGATATTGACTTAGCCTCTCTGAGCCTAAGTCTTCTCATGTGTAAGTAGCAATGGTGATGCGAATCTCACTGGTTATAAGGCTTAAATGAGATGATCTTGCCAAGGGCCTGATCCAGATCTGGGCAGGGAGCGTGCCTTCAATTACTGACTTCTTTGCTTCCTCTGCTTATACTTTGTCCATGTTTCCTTCCCTTCCTCACCCTCTCCCCTCTCTGCTCTATACACCACAGACGGAGACACTTCTTATTTGGGATGCCATGCCTCGTGCCTAAGAGAAGGGACCCTCTGTCAGAAGCATTAGCAGTGGGGATCTGGAGAGCTTGATGTTGAAGTTGTCCCATCTTATTAATCTATTCCCATGGCCTGCTTATTACACAGAATAGGGTTGTGCACAGACTCCGTGTTCATATACCGTCTGTCATGTTACAGTGGGACAAAAGCTTCATAAGTAACCAATATATTCTAGCACATGTGACTTAATAATGCATCTGCAGTTCAGTACATAGCATGATGGATAATCCTTAGATAAACAGTCCTGCGTGCTCACCCCAAACACAAGACCGACTGTATGATGCATATTTAGTTCCTTCATGGTTGCAGTGAGCTTCAAATCAAGACTGTTCTGGGCACAGCAAGCAACAAAAATACTCTCACAATACAATGCAATCACATCGCACATACATTTTTTTTTTGTCCTAAGGAATGGAACAGCAACTGTCTCAACATGTCACTTTGACCACCAACAGTAATTCTCAAGTTGGCGAGACTGGTTTGAATACAATATAGACAAAGGCTATATATGTGGGTACTTGTGTGAATTGGGGGTTTGCAAATGACCACTATAATATCCAGTCTGGCACAGGGTTCCCTGGTCACCCTCTCTCGTTCTGCAGTGAGGATGACGGGGCTGTGAACCCTGGCAACAAAGAGTCAGCAGTCAGTCGCTGTTGGCAGCATCACTTACAAGATTTCCATTTCACGCAAACACCGAGGACTTTCTTCTTACAGCATCAGGCCTTTCTTGGAACGGCCTTGAAGTATTCCTCCCTTGCAATGTCGGATACGCCTCCATACCATTTCTGAAGCCAGATGTGTTCTATCTTCATCTTCATAAAGAACCATTCATACTGACGAGGCCACTTCCTCATCACTGGGTGTCTGAGAAATAAAGGAGAGGTCACAGTAGAGCTGCTCATATTAGTGCGTGTCCCTCCCAGGGCACTGCTCCAGACTCTGCATATCACTGGGCAGGTCATCCGGCCCTCCAACCTCCAGGCCTCATTTGGGCTGAAGCCAGAGACAGAAGCCAGGGAGCCAAGGACGGGGTCTCAGGCCGCCTTGGGAAGGCAAGAAACTGCCAGCTCCACAGAGGGGCAGCCCAGTCTTGCACCAGCCTCCTTGGTTGGGATCCCAGGTCAGCTGCTGATGAGTTGTGGTGCCTCCCCGGCCGTGTGCCTTCTCAGACCCTAGTCTCCTTACTGTCATGGGGGCTGACAGCGATGGTGCTTTGATTGTGGGGCTGCGTGGGGAGCAAACCACTCTGCACACATAAAGCACCTGCACAGAGCAAGTGCTCCGTGACTGCCAGTTACTGTTATCAGGAAACATAAAGAATGGCTTTATGCATCTCTGTATGAAATGTCAAAAGAATCGTGGGCTTATGAAACAAATCTGCTCATGGGAAGATTTCCATTCTGCAGCAGGCTTAGAACTGTTGAACCAAGTTGAGACTCAGAGTAGACAGGGAACGTCACATGCCACCTTCTGCTTACTGACTTGCTTTCTCCCTCACATGTAACCCTAAACACAAGCACTGTCAGTGCAAAGCTTGATATGGGGCTTGAACCCATGAACTGTGAGATCATGACCGGAGCTGAAGTCAGATGCTCAACCAACTGAGCCACCCAGGTGCCCCAACTCACTTCTTTTAAACTTCATAAAAATCAGGGCACCTGGGTGGCTCAGTCGGTTAAGGGCCCAACTCTTGATTTCAGCTCAGGTCATGATCTCACAGTTGTGAGATCGAGCCCTATGTCTGGCTTCATGCTGAGTGTGGAATCTACTTGGGATTCTCTCTCTCTCTCTGCCCCCTCCTCCACTGCCATGTGTGTGTTCTCTCTCTCAAAATACATCAATAAACATTAAAAAATATATTTCATAAAAATAAAAACTTTACTCACATCTAAAAATGTTATAAAAACTCAAAGGCCCTGTGCAGCCTGGGAAGAACATTCGCAACAGTGCAGATGCAATAAAAGGCTGATGACCTTGTGTAAAAAACAATTTATTTTGAAATAGTCGTAAACTCAGAGAGAAGTTGGAAAGTACAGTACAACAAACTATTTTTTCCCCCTAAACCATTTGGAAATAAGTTGCTGAGGCGATGCCCCAACACTCCAAATACTTGTGCGTGCGGCGAAGATAATAAAAGGTTGTTGTTATTATAAGCAAACAGGATTTGTACTTGTGACCAGAACACATTTTGGCACCCACAACTATAACAAATCCCCAACCAGGGAGGAGGCACCGGTTTTGCCTCCAGGCTGCGAGTGGCAGCGGGGAGGGGGACCTGGAGGAGACTGACAGTGGGCGCTTAAAAGAAGGTAAAGACAACGTTAGTGGAAGCAGGAAGTAAAGTCACCCACAAGACACAGTGGTGGAAAATTCATCCCTGCTGTGCCTGCAGGGATGCAGAAAGTAGGAAATGGATCTAATGAACCGAGCGGTCTCCTTAAGGTTTCACCTAGTCCCACTGCCTATCATGACACGAAAGAGGAGGGGTTAGAAGTAAAGAGGACATCGGGGTGGGGCGCCCGGGTGGCCCAGTCAGTTAAGCGCAGAGCCTGCTTCAGATCCTCTGTCCCCTCTCTCTATCTGCCCCTCCCCCCTCAAAAAATTAAATAAACACTAAAAAAAGAGGGCAGTGAAGCTAAAAAATAAATCACACCCCCCTATGCTCTTTTCTCAGTCTGTGTACCGAAGGCCACACGTTCATGTTGATATACCCAATCGCGATCCAATTCCAGAGCTCACTCTCATTTTCTCCCTTTGCACATAGGAAACCCTTTTGTGTGGCAGTGAGAAACCAGGCTTCCCGTCTCTGCCGTGTTTACTTATTTGATGGTTCCCCGGTATGTAAAATCTTCCCATCTCCCTGGGCGTGGGGGGTGGCTCTTCTACCTCACCACCTGCTTTCCTCTTACTCTTCCACTAACTTAGACAAAGAGAGACTCTGCCCGTTTTCATCGTCTGCGCCTCTGGGAGGACACATGCAACGCCTTGCCCCAGCTCCACCCTCCCCCTCCCTGCTGCCCGCCCCGCCCCCAGCTCGGACACCCTCTCCACCCTTGGGAGAGGCACCGCCATGCACACACCCTCCTCACCTCTCACAAGCTCCCGACCTCCCACAGCCCCTAACAGGGCCGCCCTCTGGCTCATTTTGACCGGAAAGGCCAGCGGTGATTTTAAACATACATGCTAATTTCCTGGGGCGTGCTTTTAAAATTTAGATGGAGGCTTAGCTCCAGAGAATCTGATTCAGTAAGCGGGTCGGGGCAGGAGGGTGGGGCAGAAAGCCTGTCTCTGCAAGCATCCTCAGTGGGTCAGATGTAGGCGTGGTAGGACTACACCAAGAAGCGCCCTTTCACTCCTGGATGTTTGAAAATGTCTGTTGTGTGGACTTCTCTACAAAGCCTCAATTAGTTACTTCCATTTCTTTCTCTCTTTTTTTTTGTTTTAATTTTTTTAATGATTTATTTATTTCTGAGAGAGAGAGAGAGAAAGGCAGTGTGAGCAGGGCAGGGTCAGGGAGAGAGGGAGATACAGAAGCCGAAGCAGGCTCCAGGCTCTGAGCTGTCAGCACACAGCCCGACGCAGGGCTCGAACCCACAAACTGTGAGATCATGACCTGAGCCCAAGTCAGACGCCCAATCTACTGAGCCATCCAGGCGCCCCTTGTTTTCATTTTTAATGTTTGTTTATTTATTGAGAGAGAGAAAGCCAGGGAGGGGCAGAGAGAGAGAGGGAGAGGGAATCCGAAGCAGGCGCTGCACTGTCAGAGACCCATGAGGGGCTCGATCCAACGAACTGTGAGATCATGACCTGAGCCCAAGTCAGACGCCCAATCTACTGAGCCATCCAGGCGCCCCTTGTTTTCATTTTTAATGTTTGTTTATTTATTGAGAGAGAGAAAGCCAGGGAGGGGCAGAGAGAGAGAGGGAGAGGGAATCCGAAGCAGGCGCTGCACTGTCAGAGACCCATGAGGGGCTCGATCCAACGAACTGTGAGATCATGACCTGAGCTGAAACCAAGAGTCGGATGCTTAACTGACTGAGCCCCCCAGGCGCCCCTGGTTATTTCCATTTCAAGGCAGGGCATTGTAGGAGGTTGTACAAGTGCAGGGAAGAGCACCTGGAATCCCTCAGTGTGGGGTGCTGTGCAAAGGCGGGGTCAGGCCACCGAGGATGGTCCGCCCGGCCTCTGCTGTCACCTGCAGCAACCAAAATGGCCAGCATATTTCCAAAGGGCAGCTCAGATTGTCACTGTCACTGTGTTGGAGGCAGTATGTGCCACAGTCCTGACCTCTGCTTCATTATGATAGTGCATTTCTGAGCAAACCAACTGTACAGCATCTACAGACCTTGAAAACATGGCTTGCTTGGCAAATTCTACTTCTTCTGGAGACACTGCGATCATCTGGCCAGTGAGCGTCAACCGGGCACATCGGGGGTCTTCTGGGTCGACGATGTTTTTTCTGCATTCAAACAATGTTTTTCACATATTAAAATGATGATAGAATATCAGCCCAAAATATCAAGAATTTTATGAAAAGTTAAAAATAGAGAGTCACACGGCTGGCTCTATCATTGAAGTTTTTACACTATCTATAATTACTTTAAAATACTTGGGGACACGGGGTGCCTGGGGGGCTCAGTTGGTCAAGCGTCTGACTCTGGATTTCAGCTCAGTTCATGATCTCACTGTTCGTGAGATCGAGCTGCATGTCCGGCTCTGCATTGAACGTGGGGAGCCTGGTTGGGATTCTTTTTCTCCCTCTCTCTCTCTTTCTCTCTCTCTCTCACCCTCCCTGCCCCTCTCCCTCTCTTTCTCAAAATATATAATAAATAAACAGTAAAAAATACTTTGGCACTGGCTGTGTGTTTGGGAAGTGAGACGTCAGCCTGTACCCAGGGGGCAGCAGATAGCACCCGAAGCACAAGAGTCAAGGGTGCACATTCTACAAGACCACATTCTTGTAGACCACATTCTACAGTCGGGAGCCATTGTTGGGAAGCCAGCTGCTGCTCTGCACAACCTGAGGGTGCCACTCAAAGACAAGAGAAGTGGTGCTCTAGAGGTAAGGCAATGCATCTGCCTGGGTCCAGCCGTGACCGAGGCGAAGGTTTTCCAACATCTCCATCAGAATGCAGAGGGTCCTCCTTCAGGGTAAAGAATGTTGGAAATAATGAGAACACCAGCATGACTGCATTTATAACTGCCTGCTAATAAGTGTTCCCATGGTGAGAGAATTCTTCTAAGACTTGCTCTCACTGAAAGAGTCATCTGGCAGTGAGGATGTACTTTGCATTCTGGATATCCCTCTCTTTCCAGGTAAATATAATTCTAACATAAATATAATATGATATGATACGATATGATTCTGCTAGTTAAGAACTCCCCTAACTAGGGTTGCCAGCTAAAATATTGGATGACACAGTTATGTGAGAAAAATATTTATCTGAAATTTTTTTTAAACATTATTTTTTAATGTTTTATTTATTTCTAGGAGAGAGAGAGAGAGACAGTGTGAGCAGGGGAGGGGCAGAGAGAGAGGGAGACACAGAATCCAAAGCAGGTTCCAGGCTCTGAGCTGTCAGCACAGAGTCTGTTGCGGGTCTTGAACTCATGAGCCGTGAGATCATGACCTGAGCTGAAGTCAGATGCTTAACCAACTGAGCCACCCAGGTGCCCCTGAAATTTAATTTTTTACAGCTTTATTGATGTGAAAAAATATATATACATATACATATGTATATATATACCCTTTTAAAGTGCACAGTTGAGGATTTTTAGTGTATTCAGAGTTGGGCAACTCTCACCATAATCTAATTTTAGAACATTTTCATCACCTGCCCAAAACACCCTATGCCCATTAGCAGATATTCCTCATTCCCGACCGTTTACATCATCCTAAGCAACCGCGGATCTACTCTCCATCTCTAGAGAGTTGTCTGTTTTGCCCACGTGGATGGAATCATACTATATGTGGGCTTTTGTGACTATCTTCTTTGACTTAGCATAGTGATTTCAAGGTTCATCCATGTTTTAGCCTGTATTAGCACTGCATTTTATTTTATTGCTGAATATTAATTTACTGTATGGATAGACCACACTGTGTTTATCAGTTCATTGGCTGATGGGCATTTGGGTTGTTCCCATTGCAAATAATGCTGCTATGAACATGTGTGCACATGGTTTTGTGTGGACATGGCTTTTAGTGGTGGAACTATCAGAAAGGGAATTGCTGGATCCTACGGCAACTCTGATTAACCTTTTGTGGAACAGCCAAACTGTTTTCCAAAGCAGCTGCACTGTTTTACATTCCCACCAGCACTGTATGAAGCCAATTCCTTCACATCTTTGAGGGGGCTTATTTTAGTCTCTTCTTTTCATTCTAGCCGTCTTAGTGAGCGTGAAGTGGTGCCTCACTGTGGTGTTTTTTGCATTTCTCTGATGGCTGATATTGACTATCTTTTCGTGTGCTTATTGGCTGTATGTATATCTTTGCGGAAATGTCTATTCAAATCCTTTGCCTATTTTAAATTGGGCTCTTTTCCTTTTTATTATTGAGTTGTGAGAGTTCTTTACATATTCTGAATACAGATCCCTTTCCAATATGTGATTTAAAAGTATTTTCTGTTTTTCACTTTCTTGATGGTGTTCTTTTTATTATTTTTATTTTTTATTTTAGAGAGAAGAAGAGCAAGCACAAGCAGGGGAGAGGGTTGGTGGGGGGAGAGAAAGAGAGAGAGAGAGAGAGAGAGAGAGGAAATCTTAAGCAGGCTCCATGCTTAGTGTGGAGACTGATTGGGGCCCAATCCCATGACCCTGGGGTTATGACCTAAGACAAAATCAAGAGTTGGATGCTCAGTTAATTGACTGAGCCACCCAGAAGCTCCTTGATGGTGTTTGATGCAAAACGTCTTTTTAAAATTTTCATTAAATCCAAATAACTTCTTTTTCTTCTGTTTCCTTTTATGGTTTTTTAATTAAAAAAAATTTTTTTATAGTTTATTTATTTTTGAGACAGAGAGAGGCAGAGCAAGAGTGGGGGAGGGGGAGAGAGAGAGGGAGACACAGAATCTGAAACAGCCTCCAGGCTCTGAGCTGTCAGCACAGAGCCCGATGTAGGGCTCGAACCCACGAACTGTGAGATCATGACCTGAGCCCAAGTCGGATGCTTAACTGATGAGCCACCCAGACGCCCCTCCATTTATGATTTTTTAAAAAGCTCCCAGCAACCTAGGGTAAAGGATATTCATCAAAATCTTATCCATATGCTATTTTATATCTCATGGAACAGGACAGCATGTCCATAATTATTAGATATTGTGGGTTTTGTAGTAAAACAAGAAATAGAAATATGTATAAGGGTTGGGAAATAATAAACATACATGTAGTTATTTCCAAATGATATGACTGTATACAAAGGAAAATGCAAGAGAATCCACACTCAGTATATTAGCATGAAGAAGAAAGCTCAGCAAGATTGTTGAATTCGAAAACAATGAACACTTGCATTGCTACTTATAAGAAAAAAACTTTTAAGGTACATTTTATTTACTAAAAGATATATAGATGGTGACGAAACCTACAAAATACTAGGGATAAATTTAACCCCCAAATGTGTAATACTTTGGTGGAAAAAAATGATGACTTTATTGAAATACATAAATGGCCTAAAAGAGGGTTATACCATATACATGAATGGGAAAACCCAGTTTAAAGGAGATGTCAATTCTTCCAGAATTAATCTCTACAGATGCTATAATTTCAGTTCCAATTCAGATATATTTTTTGAAATAAAACAAAACAAGCCGAATCTAAACTTCACACGGAATAACAAAAGTCCAAAAATAGTCAAAACCACTATTAAGAAGAACAAGGCAGGAGGGCTTCCTCTACCAGATAACCCAAACATCAGGCCATATTGTCTTCTGTCCTGAAAAATTGCTTCCTTCTCTTTGCATTGTTTTAGATTTTCCTAGTTCCTTGTATTTGTTCATTTTGCACGGTAGAGACTTTCCTCAAATGTTTTCCTTGGCTGTTTATTCATATTGAAAATGTGGCACCTTAGAGCCAGTTGGAAATTCTGACTGCAATAGGTATGGCTTTCTGAGAAGTGCACTTTAAGGTGATCAGGCTTGATGGTTCTGTTGAAGGACTCTTAACTACTCAGTATATGTGGGTTTTCTTTCTTTTTTCTTTTTCTTTTTTTTTTCCTCTTGGGCTGTTTGGTATCCCTAGGGGAAATCCTCAAAGAATTCTCAGACAAAACCTTGTTAAAGGGGACCTTAATCCATTATTCACAGTAAGAAGCAAGAGCCAGCAGAAACAGCAAATATCAGAAATAAATACTCAAGTTATAATAAATTGATTATAAGATAAAGATACCTAAAATGCATAGGGTCTTCCAGTCTTTTTTTTTTAATGTTTTATTTATGTCTAGGAGAGAGAGAGAGAGACAGCGTGAGCAGGGGAGGGGCAGAGAGAGAGGGAGTCACAGACCGAAACAGGCTCCAGGCTCTGAGCTGGCAGTCAGCACAGAGCCCGACGCGGGGCCGAACCCACGAACCGCGAGATCATGACCTGAGCGAAAGTCGGATGCTTAACCGACTAAGCCACACAGGCGCCCCTCCCAGTCTTTAATTGAAAGTGTAAGCTCTTTGGGGGTCTGATTTTATGTGAGGCCCTTATTTCTAACTCTTCACCTGTTATATCTAACAGCCCAAGATATTGTTTCTTTGTTCTCACTGTATCAAAACCTAAGCCCTACTTTTCCCAGACTGGTAAGCCCCACTCGAGAAGTCCCAGTTCTGGTTCTTTTGTTTCATCTTCATTTTTGGCTCCCAGGGGATTTCTTTTTGTTTCTTATAAGTATGCATTTAAAAGAATGTTTTTCTTCCTACTGTTTTTATTTTTAGATTGATAAAGTCTGTCGTATTTTAAAACATAAGGCGGGGGTGCCTGGGTGGCTTAGTCGGTTAAGCATCCGACTTTCGCTTGGGTCATGATCTCACGGTTCGTGGGTTCGAGCCCCGCATCGGGCTCTGTGCTGACTGCCAGCTCAGAGCCTGGAGTCTGTTTCAGTCTGTGACTCCCTCTCTCTCTGACCCTCCCCTGCTCACACTGTCTCTCTCTCTCTCTCCTAGAAATAAATAAAACATTAAAAAATAAATAAATAAAACATAAGACAATAAAAAATGTTAAGATTAAAAACATAAAGAATTTCCATGTAGAAGTTTAGGGACTATAAAACATGTTAGAAAATAAAAATAAGCGTTTTCAAATAACCTTGGAATTATATTATACATAGAGCTTTTATCTTTATTTGTTTCCACCCAAAAATTAAATTGTGAACGTTTTATATTGAGAGGCACATGCTGGGAAATCTGTTTACTCACAAAATTCTCAAACATTTATCTACCATTTCTGTCTACTGAATATACAGAAGGGGCTGGAAAGATACACCTC